CCCAGGCTATTGGACTACATAGTGTTTTTCTCCTGGGGTAATTAGGCAGGTAAACAGGCCCTCTTCAGAGTAGGTGTGCTAGAACACTCACTTGTGCCTGTGTACTGGGTGGCAGCAGAGTGAGTTGGGAGAGAGCTGGTTAAATGCCTGCATCCACATCGCACTCAGTGTTTGATGTTGAACTGGGGAGTTCTGAGTGTGACAGTTCTGCAGTGTCCCTCGTTGGCCCTTTTGTCGTGGTTACTTGGCAGAACACAAATGCCATGCTTATCGCATTCGTGGATGTAAAACAAAGCTGAGAGAGGGGAAAAATGTTTCATGCTGGGCAGAATCCCAGAAGGTCTCCGCAGACTGCAGCAATGGAAGAACCCAAGGGAGAAATTTCACAGGAACCCGCATGATGTCTCTCCATGGCCTGGGAAACCATGTGTACCAGGTCAGGGAGGTGGGGAGTAGCATCCACTGGAGGGAGATGACGGCCTTGCCCTGTGCTCTTCAGACCATACCTGGGGCCTTTGGTTCTGAAAAAAAAAAAAAAAAAAAAAGAGAGAGAGAAAGAGAAGAGTGGGGAGCAGGCCAGGTGCAGTGGCTCACACCTGTAATCCCAACACTTTTGGAGGCTGAGGCAGGCAGATTACCTGAGGTCAGGAGTTCAAGACCAGTCTGGCCATCATGGTGAAACCCTGTCTTTACTAAAAAATACAAAAATCAGCCCAGCATGGTGGCAGGTGCCTGTAGTCCCAGCTACTTGGGCGGCTGCGGCAGGATAATCGCTTGCACCCAGGAGGCGGAGGTTGCAGTGAGCCGAGATCGCACCACTGCCCTCCAGCCTGGGCGACACAGTGAAACTCTGTCTCAAAAAAAAAAAAAAAAAGGAGTGGGGAGCCTTGAAATTATTTCAGGCAGAGAATGGTAGGGGAAAATGAGGCTATTCTAAGAAGGGAGGACTAGAAGTATGTCTTGGGGAGAGGGAAAGACCCGAGGTGCAGGACCACAGCTTGCAGTGGGATCAACCTGCCTTGTGGGACCCTGAAGGGCAAAGCTCCTAGCCGGGAGGCAGATTTTGACTCCTGCTGGGAAATCCCTTCAAAGCCACCCCAAGAATGAGCCCCACGAGCACCATCAAGGCTGGCCTGTGGGCCCTCTAGGTCTGCCAAGGCTGCCTGGAACTGAATGGACCCTGTGTGTGTTCTTTTAGTCTTGGAAGAGCATCCAGGACTTTGGGGGCCAGAGGAGTGGCTTCAAGTGAGCTCAGAAGTCTGCACCTGAATTGGGCCTTTTTAAAAGTTGTTTTTTTAATGGGCAATACATGAATGTGGCAGAAATGCAGAGGGAACAGATCTAAACTGGGAGCCTCATTTTCTAGCCCCAGCTTTCCTCTCCAGAGACAGCTAGTGGTAGCTAGTTTCTTGTGTGTCATTTACTAGGATGTGTGTGCAGATATACACATAGGAGCCACTTAGTTTGTATGTTTCTGAGTTTTTTATTGGCTTAGTACATACACGGTAGTGTACCTTGATTAATAATGGTGGTCATTTCATCTTTCCATATACAGAGCTGGCTAATTCCAGAAATAGCTACAGAGTATCCATTGTTGGATCTGTTGTGGTTTATTTAACCAGCCTCATTGGTGGAAGTTTAGGAGTTGTTACAGATAATGTTGTAGTAAAATGCATGTCTGTATGACATTTCACACAGTTGTGTGTCTGGGAAAGACAGTTCTAGAAGTAGAGTTGCTGGGTCAAAGGGTGTGTCATTTTAAATTTTGACATCTCTGCATTTTTTATTTTTTATTTTTTGAGATGGAGTCTCACTCTGTCACCCAGGCTGGAGTGCAGTGATGCAATCTTGGCTCACTGCAACCTCTGCCTCCCAGGTTCCGGCCATTCTCCTGCCTTAGCCTCCTGCGTAGCTGGGATTACAGGCACCTGCCACCGCACCCAGCTAATTTTGGTATTTTTAGTAAAGACGGGTTTTCACCATGTTGGCCCAGCTGGTCTCTAACTCCTGACCTCAGGTGATCCACCCACCTTCGCCTCCCAAAGTGCTGGGATTACAGGCATGAGCCACCGTGCCTGTGTATTTTTAATTGGTGATTCCTTTACACATTGGTGAAGGTGAACATCTTCAGCTCCTTTTCTATAACTGCCAGATCTGTTCACATCATTTGACAGTTTCTCTAGTGGTTATTGATCTTTTTCTTATTGTATTAATAAAACTTTTTTCCTAAGTTTTTTTCATCTTTATTTTTAAAAATTTGTTTCTTATTATGCTGAAATTTTATTTTATGCCTTTGGTTCTTGGGGCTACTTCTTTCATTGAAATATTTGGCCTGGCTGGAATTTACTTGGTGTAAGGAACAGGGTGGTATCCAGCTTTTGTTTCTTGGGTTTTTTCCCTGGCCTGGCTGTGGATGGGGCTTTTGGCTTCATTCCTCTGGGAGTAGGCCAGGAGTAGGGAGTGTCTTTGGTGCTTAGAGGTCCTGGCTAGTGGTGTCTCCGGAGAGGAAGGTGGTAGAGACACCATCCCGGCTCTCCCTGCTCACCTGCGGGGCGGTTTCTCCTGTTGGAAGGTTCCTGGCCTGCCGGTCATTCATATCCGCCAGGTGCCTCCTCACCAGTGAGGTCTGAGGGTTTGGCAGAGTCTGGGCAGATGGGTCACGCTGGGGCCAGGACGGGGAGGGCTTTGTACTGACAGCCAGCTCACCCAGCCGTAGGGACCTGAGTCACACCCTCTCTGAAGGTGGTGCCACCAGGGACCTCATCCACCACGTGCTTAGGGGCTCCAAGAGACTGAAAGCTGTGCAAGGACTGGGTCCTTGGTCCACACTACAGGGAGCCGATTCCAGCTCTCTCCGAAGCCATAAGTGCTTTGCCTATCCTCTGGACGCACTCACCCAAACAAATGACCACACCCATAGGGCTGAAAACCAAGCCCACCCTGTGGGGACCAGTGGCACCTTAAGGAAGTTCTTTAGCTTCCTTAAAAACAGCATGTAGGCTGGGTACAGTGGCTCATGCCTGCAGTCCCAGCACTGCAGGAGGCTGAGGCGGGCAGATCACTTGAGGCCAGGAGTTCAGACCATCCTGGCCAATATGGTGAAACCCCATCTCTACTAAAAATACAAAAATTAGCCAGGCATGGTTGTGCCCACCTGTCGTTCCAGCTACTCAGGAGGCTGAGGCATGAGAATTACTTGAACCCGGGAGGTGGAGGTTACAGTGAGCTGAGATTGTACCACTGCACTCCAGCCTGGGTAATAGAGTGAGACCCTATCTAAAATGTAAAAATAGGCCAGTTGCAGTGGCTCATGCCTATAATCTTAACACTTTGGGAGGCTGAGGCAGGCGAATCACCTGAGGTCAGGTGTTTGAGACCAGCCTGGCCAACATAGTAAAACCCTGTCTCTACTAAAAATAAAAAAATTAGCCAGGCATGGTGGCAGGTGCCTATAATCTCAGCTACTTGGAAAGCTGAGGCAGGAGAATCACTTGAACCCCAGAGGCAGAGGATGCAGTAAGCCAAGATCACACCATTGCACTCCAGCCTAGGTTACAGAGTGAGGCCCTGTCTCAAAAAAATAAATAAATAAAATAAAAATAAAAATAAACAGCATGTACCAGCCTGGCCAACATAATAAACTCTTGCCCCCCCCCCCAAAAAAAAAAATTAGCAAGCTATGGTGGCACATATCCTTAGGAGGCTGAGGCGGGAGGATTACCTGAGCCCAGGAGGTCAAGGCTGCAATGAGCCATGACTGTGCCACTGCACTCCAGCCTGGATGACAGAGTGAGAGTATGTCTCAAAATAAACAAAATCTAACATGCCCAGTTTTCAAGGTAAATATGAAGGGCAGCTAGAATCTTGTAGTTGGATAGCGTGGCCAGAATAGTGGTCTTCAAAGTGGGTTCCCTGGACCAGTAACATTACCTGAAAACGTTCAGAATGCAAATGCTGGTTCTACTCTCTCACAAACTCTTGGTGGTGGAGCCCAGCAATGTGTTTTAACAATCCCATCAGGTGATTGTGATGCGCATTGCAGCATGAGACCCAGTGTGTCAAAAGAAACCGCTCACCTGAGACGAGCTGGTGTGATTGTTGAGGGAGCCTCAGGTTTCCTCACATGCCCACCTGTCATTTGCCATTGGGTGTCTCTGCAAACCGCAGCAGCTGCTATTTGCAAGAGCAGGCAGGTTGCACAATGTGGCTGTTGTCACAGCAGCTCTGTGTCCCTCCTCACAGTTTAGCTGGCATGGGACGTTGCCAAGGGATCTGTGTTCAGAGAGACTCTGTGAGAGCAGGTGTCTCACTTGGCACATGTCCAGGCCTCTCTTCTTTCTTTACTGACAGATCTGCAAATCACTTACTTCTCTTAGCAGCGTCTGCTGCGGAAACAGGGTGGTGGTGCCTCGTTTTCCATGGTTCTCCACCCTGCATCAGATGAACCTCCTGAGGGCCCTTCTTACTTCTAGGAACGAAGCTTCCATACCTTACCAGCTCCCCTTGGCTGATGAACCAGAGGTTGGAAAATGAAGGAAGACAGGGGCCTCTGGCTTCCTCTGTTGCTGGAGGGATGGCAATAAGGACACAGGAAGATAAATAGACAGACCTGGAGCCCTGAGGATGAGGCAGTGTGCTTCTAGCTCTGAGGTTGGAGAGCAGGCCCAGAGACACACTGCACCCTTGTCAGCAGAGGCAGGAGCAAAGCTTCAATGAGAGGGGCTTTCAAGAAAACAGGCTCCTGGGCGGTTTTCTGTCACTGTGGGTGGGGTCGGGGATGTGGCCCAGGCCCAGAAGTCAGGCAGTATGCTGGTGGGTACTGTTTCTAGCTGGAGGCGCCAGCAGGAGACAGTGAACTGCTGGGACAAGCAGGGCGGATGCAGCAGCTTCTGCTGCTGGGTCCTGGTTGTCGTGGTGGCTGCTCCCTTGAGAAGATGGCTCCCACAGGCCCGCAGGGGCTCCCAGGCAGAGCCTGAGTGTGCTTTCCTCTTCTCTTCCAGATCTCACCATGAGCTACCCTGGCTATCCCCCACCCCCAGGCGGCTACCCGCCAGCTGCACCAGGTAAGAGGGTCTGGGTGGGGAGGAGAGTGAATGCTGCCTCTGTACAGTGGCCGGGAGTAGAGAGGGGAGAACAGTAGTTTCCTCAGTCCCTCCTCCCCTCCTCACTCCCTCCTCCCCTCACAGCCCAGCCCAGCAGGGGAGGGGTGGACAGGACAACGGAGTAGGCACATAGCCAGTGGGGCAGGGGCTGGGGAAGAGCATGATGCTGGAGCCATGGGAGGCCTGGGTTTGAAACTGGCTCCAGAAAACCCTGGACAAGGCCCAGGGCTGGGTCTCTTGCCTTACTCACTGGTAACAGTGAGCAAATGCTATCACTTTGAGACTTAGGTTTCTTCTCTGCAAAATTGCTTCAAGGATTTCTCCCTCATTAGGGGGTTCTGCATACTGACGAGCTAGGCAGGCAGAGCCTCTGATGCAGTGCCCTGCAAAGCATTGCTAGGTGATGGTTGCCCCTTGCCACCTCTCCTACTCTCTGCTCAAGGCATGTGGGCTTGCAGCAATGAGATCCCCCTCGCCAAGAGAGGAAGTAGAGGCAGATGCTAAGGGTCAAAGGTCACTCCCTCCCTGTGGCTGCAGGAGCTGTGGGTAGTCACACGTAGAAGTCATCTTCTCTGGCCCTGGCCCCTTTTTGGTTTTCCTCAAATGAGATTTGGCCCCTACAGTGGGAAAGGAAATACGAGGGTTCGTGGGACCAAAGGGAGAAAAAGGCCATTCCAAGGCTGGTCATCCTGAGGATGCCTGAACCGCTGCCCCTCACCCCAGGGGACCCCCAGCATTATTCATTTCCTTGGAGCTGAGGTCCTGTGGTGTGAGCACCCCTGGCCTGCAGGCCATTTACCTTCCCTCCCATTCAGCGGGTAAAGAACAGGCCCAGACTCGGAGGTGGCTCAGCCACTGTCCCAGGGCATGTCAGGGGCTGAGCTGGGCCACTGCCCTCTGAACAAGCCCATCCCAGGTTGGCTGGCACTGACCTTGGTCCCCTCTCTCTAGTAGAAATCCTGCACACTGAGTCCTGCCACTGGCACCTTCACTAGCACAGCTGAGCAGACTATGAGCAGCAAGAGAGGAGGAGACAGGAGATTTAGGGAAAGTTCTTCCTGGAGGGTCTGGAGCCCTAGAGCTGAACAGCCGATCTGAAGCTCCCGTGGACAGGAAAGCATCTAACAGGCCAGAGGCCACATGATGATGCCAGTCTCAGTGACAGCGTTATATACGGATGCCCTTTGGGCCCCCAGCGGAGCCCTACAGGTGTTACCTCAGTTCTCATCACTGCAGTTCAGCCATACATTCCTCATTAGCCCATTTGTCAGCTGAGGAATCAAGCCTAGCAAAGGTGAGGGTGAAAGCCCTGCCCCAGGGCACATGCCAGTCCTGCTGGTTTCAGAGGGGCTTTTCGCCTCTGTTTCCTCCTGTCCTCTTGTGGACTGGTATATGTGTTACCATGACCCGGTGTCGTCTCCCTCCAGCCTCTTATCCTGCTTCTCCCTGCCTTTTATAGACATATAATAGCAAACAGCCAAACCCCCTCCCACCAATGCCTTCATGTTACTAAAATCTCAGAGCTCCCTGTGGTCACCTCTGTGATTGGCTCAGCATGGTATCCCACAACAGTCTGTCCTTGTGTGTCCTTTGGCTCCATGATGGTGAACTTGGGAGGGCAGAGCCTGCCTGGGCCCTCCCAACCTCCTTAAGACTCTACAGAGGGTCTGGGGGGTATTTGGGGAACTCCAACCTTCCTCCTTGGGAAGAGGGGTAGGTTTCCCCTCCTCTGCCAGTGGGATAGGGGGAGACTTTCCTGGTGTTTTCATGTGGTCTGTGGTGTCCCGAGGCTTGAGGCTTTGCTAGGCCTCCGTGACCACTTGGGAGCTCGCATCTCTGCCTTTCCCCTTGTGGTGGGGGACTGGCAGGGGGCTAAAGGGCTTGGTGTTGCTTTCAGGTGGTGGTGCCTGGGGAGGTGCTGCCTACCCTCCACCCAGCGTGCCCCCTATCGGGCTGGATAATGTGGCCAACTATGCAGGGCAGTTCAACCCGGACTACCTCTCAGGAATGGTGAGTCCAGCCCTCCTGCCGAGGCGGCCCTGGGGCCAGAGGAATCAAGACTGCCGGCCTCTGGGGCTCCAGAGTTGTCTACGTGTGTGTTGCTGTGGTGTGCAGTGTGTTGAGCTGCTCCTTAGAGCAGGGTTTTCATCAGGCTTCTGCCACTTGCTCTCTGCCCCTCTCTGGGTCTCACTTTCCCCATCTATAAAATGAGGGGAAGGGGAGTGCAATGGACCAGATGATCTCACAGGTCCCTTTCAGCCCTGCGGGGTTAGGGCTGGGAGGGTGGTGAGGGTGGTGTGGGTGGTGAGGGTGTGTGCGTGAGTGTGCATGCATGTGCTGGCTGTGAGTATCCACACTAATGGGAGGGTGGTGAGGGTGTGTGCCTGAGTGTGCATGCATGCGCTGGGTGTGAGTATCCACACTGACGAGAGGGTGGTGAGGGTGTGTGCGTGAGTGTGCATGAATGCGCTGGGTGTGAGTATCCACACTGACGAGAGGGTGGTGAGGGTGTGTGCGTGAGTGTGCATGCATGCGCTGGGTGTGAGTATCCACACTGACGGGAGGGTGGTGAGGGTGTGTGCATGAGTGTGCATGCATGCGCTGGGTGTGAGTATCCACACTGACGAGAGGGTGGTGAGAGTGTGTGTGTGAGTGTGCATGCATGTGCTGGGTGTGAGTATCCACACTGACAGGAGGGTGGTGAGGGTGTGTGCGTGAGTGTGCATGCATGTGCTGGGTGTATCTACACTGACGGGAGGGTGGTGAGGGTGTGTGCATGAGTGTGCATGCATGTGCTGGGTATGAGTTTCCACATTGATGGGAGGGTGGTGAGGGTGTGTGTGTGAGTGTGCATGCATGTGCTGGGTATGAGTATCCACAGATGGGAGGGTGGTGAGGGTGTGTGCATGAGTGTGCATGCATGCGCTGGGTGTGAGTATCCACATTGATGGAAGGGTGGTGAGGTTGTGTGCGCGAGTGTGCATGCATGTGCTGGGTATGAGTATCCACATTCATGTACCTGTAGGTGTGCATGTAGGTGTACATATGGAGGGTTCTTCTGGTTAGGCCGGGGTGGGTGTGTGGCAGGTATCTTGGGCAGACATGCTACTTTTTAAATGTAGCGTTTTGCTTTTAAAATAATACATTTTATGATCTAAAATAGATGCTTAGAGGAAATGATGTAACCAATACACACCCTAATTTGTGCCAGGCCCAGATCTAGGCCCTGGTAATATGTGAATAAAACAAACAAAAATCTCGGCCGTGCTGCATTAATCTTCTATGGGGAAGAGGCAGGCAGTAACTTAAGTCAATGATGTGACGTTATTGAAAGTGTAGGTGCCATGGGAACAAGATGAGCAGGGTAAAGGGGTCAGCAGTGGGGGTGGGGGTGGGGTGATATAGGGATAATGATTTTAAGTTGGTGGTAGGGTGGGTCTTGCCGAAAAGAGGATGTTTGAGCAAAGACCTGCAGCAGGGGAAAGAAGTGCTGTATGGATGTCTGGGGAACGCCAGTGCCCTGAGGTGCCAGGGGGCCTGAGGTGCTTGAGGAGAGTGAGGAGAGGCCAGTGTGGCTAAAGTGGAAAGGTGAGGGTGTGAGATGAGAAATGAAGTCTGGGAGTCCCACTCTTGCAGGATGTAGGAGGCCATCCATACTAAGGATTTAGGCTTTTATTCCTGGCGAGTACAAGTTCACCTGAGTACGCCTGCCAGAGGTGTCTGTAGGTAGCAGGCTGATGTGATGGGGATGCCCCAAGCCTGCATATGGGACCCATGCACCTTCTTGGGCAGTGAGCTCATAACCTTCACCAAGGTGGTCTGGGATGGGAGGAACAGCTATGTGGAGAGGGAAGGCATCTCCCCTGCAGAAGGGAGTGAGGATCTCTGGTTTGGATCCAGCTGCATTGTTTACTGACTGTGTAGCTTTGAGCAAGTAAACTCATTCTGTGGTCTATGAAATGGGTACAACAATACTTCATATTCCACAAGTGGAGTCGCTGTGAGGACTGACTTGGCTAAAGAATGTAAAAGGGTGGAGGGACAGAGTCCAGCCGGGTCCAGTGGCCTCAGGCTCTGCTTTGTGTCCTTGCAGGCGGCCAACATGTCTGGGACATTTGGAGGAGCCAACATGCCCAACCTATACCCTGGGGCCGCTGGAGCTGGCTATCCACCAGTGCCCCCTGGGGGCTTTGGGCAACCCCCTCCTGCCCAGCAACCTGTTCCTCCCTATGGGATGTATCCACCCCCAGGAGGAAACCCACCCTCCGGGATGCCCTCATATCCGCCATACCCAGGGGCCCCTGTGCCAGGCCAGCCTATGCCACCCCCCGGACAGCAGCCCCCAGGGGCCTACCCTGGGCAGCCACCAGCAACCTACCCCGGTCAGCCTCCAATGCCACTCCCTGGGCAGCAGCAGCAGCCAGTGCCAAGCTACCCAGGATACCCAGGGTCTGGGACTGTCACCCCCGCTGTGCCCCCGACCCAGGTAAGTGTCAGCCTACTGCCTCCCTCGGTCCAGGCCTGGGCCCCAAAAGCTAGAGACACATGGCCCAGTAGATGGGGAAACAGGGAAAGGCGCAGGCCTCCAGCTGCAACCTCTTTTTTAGTGTAGGCCGGGTGCAGTGACTCATGCCTGTTATCCCAACACTTTGGGAAGCTGAGGTGGGCAGACTGCTTGAGCCCAGGAGTTCAAGACCAAGCTGGGTAACATGGTGAAACCCCATCTCTGCTAAAAATAGTAAAAAACTTAGCTGGGCATGGTGGTGTGTGTCTCAGGAGGCTGAGGTGGGAGGATCACCTGAGCCCAGGAGACAGAGGTTGCAGTGAGCCGAGATCACACCACTGCACTCCAGCCTAGGTAACAGAGCAAGACACTGTCTTTAAAAAAAATACAGAAAACAGGCCAGACACGGTGGCTCACGCCTGGTAATCCCAGCATTTGGGGAGGCCGAGGTGGGCGGATCACAAGGTCAAGAGATCGAGACCATCCTGGCCAACATGGTGAAACCCTGTCTCTACTAAAAATACAAAAATTAGCTGGGCGTGGTGGCACGCGCCTGTAGTCCCAGCTACTCAAGAGGCTGAGGCAGGAGAATTGCTTGAATCCGGGAGGCGGAGGTTGCGGTGAGCCGAGATCGCGCCATTGCACTCCAGCCTGGGTAACAAGAGCGAAACTCCGTCTCAAAAAAAAAAAAAAAAAAAAAAAAAGAGTGTCACCTTCTCACAGACTCCCCACCTCCCCACCTCTGGGTTGTGTTGCTTAAGGCCCAAGAGAGCTGCCCCTGTTTCTCCCAGCGTGATGAGAGGCTCCCCATGGGAGTTGGGTCAGAACACCCCAGCGAGTGCTCCTCATTCCTCTGTCATTTACTGTCTGGGCTGTGTGTTCTGTAAGAACTGCCCGGGCCACCCGTCTCAAGGCTTTGTGCCCAACAGCTATCTTTGGTCCCCTTGATATTCACCCCTACAGACAGGTTTTGGAGGATTCTTAAAGTTCCCTTTGGGTAGGGAAAATGTTGGCAGTTTCTCCAGGGTTGATCTTGGCTCATTTTGGAGAACGGTTCATGGTTGCAGAACCTAGAATTCATCGTCATGGTTATATGGCCCAACCAGCCAGCACAGGGGTAGTGGTTATGTACTTGATGACTATTTTTAGACAGAGAGTCTCCTTTCCTCCTTCCCTTCCACACCCACATGTTCCCCGACCCTGTGCCATCCTCCAGACTCCCTCCCTTATCTTTTCCCTGGGCTGTTCCCATAATTGTGTTATAACCAGTTTGTACCAGCCCCTAGGAAGACAGTCCATTGGGAGACAGTTTAGACTGGAAAGTTCAAGTTCAAGTTTGCTGGGTTGTGCAGCTGCCAGGGTCTGGAGGTGGTAGTCTAGAGCACAGTGCCAGAGAACTAGTGCTAGATCAAGAGGTTGTCGGGGTGCCATGCACAGTTGTGGAGGCTGGATACCTACATCCACCAGAGGGGAAATGTGGGCTAGCCAGCCCTGTTAGGAGTACCCACTTGTGCTCACATGTGCTGTGGAGGCCAGGCATTGATGAGAGAGGCCGCAGCCCCTGCTCCTGAGGCCTGCCCCTCCTCAGGAGTCTGACCCCCAGCCCTGGAGGACCTGGGCACCGGGCAGATTTTCAGCATCAGGACTCAGCTATAGGGAGGCTCCCAGCCGCTAGAGCCAGGAAGAAGCTCCAGTACCAGAACACGAGGCCAGATAACAGTCAAGTTAGGCAGACTCGGCATAGAGTCTTCTGCGTTGTTGACTGTGGGCACCTTCAGATACCCCAACTCTTAGAGAGAGGGCTATTCCCAGAGTCTGGGGGTGAAACAGTCTCGCATCTGGGGAAGGCGGTGTGCACGTCGTCTTACCTGTGACTGTTTGTCTGAGTAGTTTGGAAACCGAGGCACCATCACCGATGCTCCCGGCTTTGATCCCCTGCGAGATGCCGAGGTGCTGCGGAAGGCCATGAAAGGCTTCGGTGAGAGACCCTGGGTGGCTCAAATCCTACCCCTGCTGTCCATTCCCCAGGCAGTTTCACAGTGGCTCTGTGGGCTGGGATAGCCAGGGGACACAGACCTGGCCTCAGTGGTGATAAAAGAGAAGGTGGATATGGGGGTGCCACTGGGATGCCCAGAAGAGTTGAGGGATGCAGGCCAGGGAAGGCTCAGCTGCAGAACATCCTCATGACCCCCACCCCAGCCACCTGTTGCCCCTTCCTCCAGGCACGGATGAGCAGGCCATCATCGACTGCCTGGGGAGTCGCTCCAACAAGCAGCGGCAGCAGATCATCCTGTCCTTCAAGACGGCTTATGGCAAGGTGAGCTGCGGGGTGGAGGCAGGGGACAGTGAGGCTTGTCCTTGGCTCAGCAGAGTCCTGCTCACCCCTGCTTTTCCTTGGGTGGGCCCAAGTCTCCCGGATGGACAGTAAGGAGCAGGAGGGCATTTCCTTCTGCCCACCCAGCTGGTGGCAGCATTGGAGGTGAAGGATGCCCTGAGGGAGAAACAAGTCCACAGGGGGCCGAAGTTTGCTGAGAGGCCCCAGATGTCTCGCCCTGGGGTCTAGTCCTGGCTCTGCTACAATTCACTGAGGTTGTGGCCACATCATTTTCCTTCTGTGCCCTCTTCATGATCACCCTGGGAGGTTTCGCTGTTACAAGAGCTTTGCAGGAAAAGGCTGTGAGTGCTGCCCAAGTGCGGGGAGTGTGTGTGAGTGTATTTTGAACTTCTGGGATTTTGAATCTTAGAAAGGTAAAAATTGGGTGAATATTGATTAGATTTGTATCCTAGTCCAGTGCCTCTCATACTTCAATGTGCCACGGATCCTCTGGGCATCTTGGTAAAAAGTGGTCTCGGATTTGGGAGGTCTGGGGCCCCTGGGGGATGTCCATTCTGCTGGTCCTCGGATCTGGGATATGGCTCTTGTTAGTCACCTCCTGTGGATTTTAAAAATAGACTTTTTTTTTTTTATTATTATTCGAATATCCAATCAGGATTTGATCAAAGATCTGAAATCTGAACTGTCAGGAAACTTTGAGAAGACAATCTTGGCTCTGATGAAGACCCCAGTTCTCTTTGACGTTTATGAGATAAAGGAAGCCATCAAGGTGTGTACGTGTGTGTGTGTGTGTGTGTGTGTGTGCGTGCGTGTGCATGTGATCATGTGTGTGGACACAGCCCAGAAGGAGGCCTGAGCAGTGTGCTGTGTTCTAGCCCACTCATTAACTGCTGTTGTCAGTATGACTACCAGGTGTTCCTGGGTTGGAGTCTGCATACTGTAGAAAGGGGGAACTCCCTTTGATTTCCCCAAGAGGCAAATGATGCACCCATCATCATCAGGGAGCCTTAAGTCTCTCTCCACCTTAAAGAAATGGTGGAGCTGGGGTTTGAAGGTAGTGGCTCTGATAAGAAGAGGGTTAGGAGGCCATGGCTGGTATCGTTCTCGTCTTTAGGACTCTGTTACTAGCAAATGACAGAAACACGCTTCGGTTTAAGCAGAACGAAGGTGGGAAATCAGTTATGTGGGTAAAGCGAAGCTGCCTGCTGTGGAGAGGGCCAGGCCAGATGTCTCTCTGGTCTCTGCTTCTCCTGAGCATCTGCTCTTCTGTCCATTTCTGCGCTTCTCCTGCCACGACTGCTTCCAGAGGGTGCCTGTCAACCACTCTTCACATACCTATGAGATCCTGCTCCAGAGCAGGAGCTGGTTCAGATGGGCACGGCTTGGGCTCACTGTTTCCTTAAGGCCTATGGGTTTTGGCCGAGGGGTGGGTGCTGTCCATTCTGTGCAATCTCACAGCTCTGTGTGCACCCTGCGGGTGGGGCCTGGCAGCTCCCTTGGAAAGGTAATCCCGTGAGTCAGGCAGGAGCCCAGGAGGAGCCTGTCACTCAGAGACCTGATAAGCACAGTGACTGTTCCCTCCCCAGGAGAAGCAGAGACTTAAGTGTGGTGGCCTGGAAAGGAGAGAGGTCTCCACTGAAACACGTCTACACGTGATATTCTAGGGAGGGGGTCAAGAGGTGACTGGGCAGGGGGATGGCCTGGGGCCCCAGGGAGTGGCTCCCAGACATCTGCCTGGCCCCCGTCTTCAGCCAGAGTCATGAGCCAGTGATTGTGGAGTGTTAGAAACCACAGGTTTGGGCAGCTGTCACTCACCAGCTGTGTGTCCTTAAGCACCTGTGAAATGGGGATGGTGGATGCTGTCTCGGGACATGCTGGGACTACTGGGTGAGGGGCTAACGTGTACTAACATGTAGTAACCCAACAGTAGCTGCAGCGGGAAACGGCTGACAAAATGCCGCACGTCCTGCCTGACAGGCCCTAAGTGCTCTGCATACAGTAACTCAGTTAATCCTCATGACTTCCCTGTGAGGTAGGTCCCAGTATCACTCCCATCTTACAGGCAAGGAATTGAAAGCAGAGAGGTCAAGTAACGTGCCTGAGGTCACACCGTCAGTAAGCCGCAGGGCCCGGATTCAAGCTGACATGCAAGCCGGGCTGCTCGGCCTGCCCTCTGCCTTCTCACTGTCCCTGCCATGGTTGTCCCATTCATCCTCCTTGTCCCCGCCTTTTCCTAGTTGTTTTCCAGACATTCCGCCACCCCCTCTAGGACTGGATTTTCCGTGTGTCTACTTGGATCTCTCTTACTTTTCACCCATTTTTTGCAGTTGTCATCTCATTTCCAGCTGCACCCTGAATAAAGCAAGCCGTGGTCCACATTTTAACCTACCCATTTACTGTGTGGCCTTGGACCAGGCAGCACCCCTCTCTGATACTCAGTTTTCTGATCCACGTGGATGCCCCTTTGTGTGAGCCCTGCTTATCACCACCGAACTGTCACTGTGCTTGCCTGGGCTGTGGAGAGGAGCTGACTCTCTCAAGCCTGGGAGTGGCTGGAGGGTGTGTCTCTGCATCAGGGGCCTCTGTTGCTGGGGTTTGTCCCTAGGGTCAGGGCAGCAGCGTGGCCCCTGCCCTCCTTCCCGGGTGCTGGTGAGGCTGCAGGAACAAGCTCACGGCTGGTTGTGTTCTCTGCCCCTGCAGGGGGCTGGCACTGATGAAGCCTGCCTGATTGAGATCCTCGCTTCCCGCGGCAACGAGCACATCCGGGAGTTAAACAGAGCCTACAAAGCAGGTGGGGCTGCTCCCTCTGCCCTCTGCCCTCTGCAGATCCCTGTGCTCTCGCGGCTGTGGCCTCAGCCTCTCCCAGGGCCTCTTACTCCTTCCTGGTCGTCTTATCACCCCATCTCCTGCCACCCCCTACACACTGGGCTTTGAGCCAAGACCCAGCCCTTCCTGCTGTTTGTACATGGTGCAGATGACTAAAGTAAGGGAGGGCTAGGGAAAACCTGGATGTGGTTTGGGCCCAGGCTCCCTAGAGGCCAGGTCAGCCTGGAGGTCACAGGCTTGTATGTCCCTGGAGGGCCAAACGGGCTATTTGTTCCCTCAAGCCCAAGACCCCCAGCCTTTTTCTCCCCAGTGCCCACCATTGATAGTGTTTACAATGGGCAGCTCCATAAACAGAGCTACAGAGTGGACCTTCCTTGCTTCTCCCTTTCAGAATTCAAAAAGACACTGGAAGAGGCCATTCGAAGTGACACGTCAGGGCACTTCCAGCGGCTCCTCATCTCTCTCTCTCAGGTACTTTTCCCATAACAGGGCTCGGGGCCCCCAAGCTGTGGAGGTCAAAGAGGTGGGATCCCAGCATTAGGGGAGGGAAAAGAAATGGGGAAGGTGTAGGCTTGACCATACACCTGCTTCCTTTCAGGGAAACCGTGATGAAAGCACAAACGTGGACATGACCCTGGTCCAGAGAGATGCCCAGGTGAGTGTAGTGGCCAAGCCCCTGGGCTTCCTAAAGCAGGGCTGTACCCTGCTTTCTTGCTGCCTGAGAGAGGTGATCTAGGGTGGAAAGAACAGTAGATAGGCTGTGAGTTTTAGACGTGCTGGGCTTCTGCTCACCTGTGTGACCTTGAGAAGATCACCTGACCACCTGGGCTTCAGTTTCCCCACCTGTAGCGGGGAACATGTGGGACAGTAAGTTTTTCAGTAGTTGATAGATGACGGTTTTGGATGTGGGATTTCAGGTGACTGCATACTTTCCCCATGTTTAGTTGCACATACCATTATGTTTGCAAAGGGGCAGAATTTGCACTTGTCTGTTAAGTTTTTGAGGGTTTGAGCCTAGAAACCAGCTGCCACATTAGTTGAACAGCCTTAGAATTCTCTCCTTGTCCCCCTTGTGAGTTGCAGACAAAAGGGAAAGAGTCCAGGCATTTGAGCTACTCTCTAGAAAAGTTTGGGTTTTCCACTAATGAATTTGGACCATAGTATCATGGCAGGGCAGAGCCGTGACTTCCTGGTGCAGTGGAGTTGGCCATACCTCTCTGTCCCCCTTCACTGTTCTTACCACCCATGGCAGGACACTTGCCAGGAGCTGCCAGTGGTCTGATTATCTCTACCATCTGCTGGATTGGAACGAGACCTCAAGGAATGCCACTTTGTTAGGGCTGGTGGAGAGCTACTCCTCTAGTCTGGTCCGTTTGCTTTCCAGATGAGGAAACTGAGGCTCAAAAAGCTTGAGCACTGTTCCCAACTGAAAGCTAGAGGCAGCGCCCAGGCATCCCTGGCTCAGTCCTCTGTGCCCAGTTAGCGCCTGCTTCTGCCCTGGTCTCAGACCTGCTGCTCCTGCAGGGTCTACCGTATTCAGTGTCTCTCTGGCTGATGACATCCATTCTCATTCTGGGACTCAGGGCTAGACACCCCTGGGGCTCTGGCTCTTGCTCCAGTGAGAGTTTTGCATGCCATTTCTAGTGGGGTAAAATTGTCTCGGGCTCTGCCTTCTCAGTCCAGACCTGCTATGGCCTCATCTTGACCTGTGGGATCTCAGCCCCTGATTGCTGCTTTCCGCTTTTTTTCATGGCTGCTACCTGAGGCCTAGCAGGCACTGTAGAGGCTGCCTAGTTCACAGGTTGCAAATTGGCAAATACTTTAGGCTCAAACCTTCAGAAGTTTACCAGGCTCTCCTGGGTGACCTAGGCCTGGGGTCTGAATGTGGCCTGTGCCGCCTGTGAATCTTCTCTCTCCAGGAGCTGTATGCGGCTGGGGAGAACCGCCTGGGAACAGATGAGTCCAAGTTCAACGCAGTTCTGTGCTCCCGGAGCCGGGCCCACCTGGTGGCAGGTAAGGCAGGCCGGGTCCCTCTGGGGCCAGTTAGATGAGGGCAGTCAGGGGAGTGTGGGTAGACACAGCTGTGGGAACACTTGGTGGTTCCTCCCTGCGTAGGGCTTTTGCCTCCTCAGAAGAGCCCCCTGGTGGGGATTTAAAAGAGAGGATTTCCTGAGTTCTGGCAAGCATCCAGTTCTGGACGTTCCGCTTAGCTTGGAAACCTAGTGTCTTCATATGCAGGAATGTGGAATGTTAGAGCCGGGAGAGTCCTTTGGGAACACCCAATCCAACGTTTTCAAAGCCTGGCATAAGAAACACTCATGGCAGTAATACTGGGTGCCGTTCATTTACTCATTTATTCAACAGATGTAAATCATGCTCCCCCATGGGCCAGTCCGTCAGGTCAGGCGGTGGAGCAGGTGTGGAGACACGATGAGGGGCAGGGCACTGCAGAGTCTCTGTTCCATGGGCTGTACCTCCTCATTTGGGGAGACAGACAGTAAACAATGAAATAAAATCTGTATCACATGATAAATCCTGTAGAGGAAAATGAAGCTGGAAACCAGCAGGGAGTGATGGTAGGATCCACCGGGAGGTGCTTGGCTAGTCCTCACTGAGGTCATGACATTTGATTTAAAAACCTAAAGGAGATGCAGGTGCAGAGGCCTGCCTGGGGCTCCCAGCACGACTGAGAAAGTGAAGGGGGACTGTGTGGAGCAGATGGAGTGAGCGAGAGGAGAGACGGCCCTGCTGATGACTTCCCAGAATTGGGTATTTATCCTGAGCAAAACAGGAAGCCACTGGAGGGCCCTGAGCAGAGGAGGCTGTGCAGAATCCCTGGCTGTGGTGCTGAGAATGGAGGGAAGGGTACATGGCCGAGCAGTGAAACCTGTTGGGAGGCTGCTGCAGGAGCCCAGAGGAGGAACAATGGCAGTAGGGGCTTGTGGTGAGGGGGTGTCACGTTCCAGCCCTGTTTACTGATGAATTGGACACGTGGCATGTGGGAAAGAGGTGTTGAGGATTACATAGGGTTTCTTTAGGCCGAGCGGTGGGAGAATGGAGTGGCCCTCAATTGAGATAGGGGAGCCTTAGGTGGAACTGGTTTTAGGTGCTTGTAGGGTGGAGCTGCAGGGAGGCTTCTGGGTTGCTGTGTGTGGAGGTCAGGAGAGGTCTGGGCTGGATGTGGAAGGTAAGGGAGCTGTGGGTAGTCAAAGGTTTCAGTGGCTCTGGAACCGCAGAGCTTATTTGAAGAGCTATTAATTGAGAAAGATACAGTTAGAGCAGAAATTACGACTTTAATATGCAAATGGAAGCTGAGACTCAGGCTGGGGCAGGGGAGTGTTGTCCTGGGTCAGAGCTGGACTCAGGACCCAGGTCTCCATCATGCTGCCTGCCTCTTTAGGAGCCAGCCGTCCACTCCTGTGGGTGCTTAGCATGTCCTAGGTTGAGCTGGACTGGCAGGAGTGGGCAGCAAAAAGCCAGGCTGTCTGGGGCAGGCTGGGCCTCAGCTCACGGGCAGGTTGAGGAAGACACAGATGCATGCGTAAGGCCAAGGCATGGCAGAGACTGCAGGTGTGGGGGATTTGAGAAGAAGGAACACTGTGTTGGGATGCATGGGAGTGAGCCCTGGAGGGGAATTAAGGTGTGATTTGGTTACACAGATTGGCAGTCCTGAGAAGGGGACCACAGGGAGGGACATCAGGCAGCACACATGACTTGTGACGAAGACTCTGGCTTCCTTGAGAGCTGGGCAGGCCTGGGGCCATGCAGGGTGCGAGAGCAGAGTGGCAAGTGGGGGGTCTTAGGGCAGAGGCCACCTCATGTGAGTCCTCTGTTAGCCTGCTCACGCTGCCATGACAAAATACCACAGACTGGGTGGCTTAAGCAACAGACATTCATTTTCTTACAGTTCTGAAGGCTGGATGTCCAAGAGCGGGGCACCGGATTCTCCTGCCGCCTCTTCGTAACTCTCACTGTGCTCACATGGTCTTTCCTCTGCACACCCACATCCCTGGGTTCTCTGTGTGTCTCCTAACTTCCTCTTCTAAGGAGGCCAGGCAGATTGGATCAGGGCACACCCTAGAAGCATGTTTTAACTTAATTACCTCTTTGCAGATCTTATCTCCAAATACGGTTGTATTCTGAGGTCCTGGGAGTTGGGACTTCCACATATGAACTTTGGGGAGACACAGTTCATAATATAAGCTTCTATATGTCATCCCCCTAGTATTCAATGAGTACCAGAGAATGACAGGCCGGGACATTGAGAAGAGCATCTGTCGGGAGATGTCGGGGGACCTGGAGCAGGGCATGCTGGCCGTGGGTAAGTGTCTTGGGCTTGCCTGCCCACCTGCCAGGGACTAACGTTTATCACGAGTGTTCAGGGTGCTCGCCTGTCCTCTAGCTGAGGGGTGATGTCGTGAAAGGACCACAGGAGCCAAGATTGCTCAACCCAGAGTGTCCAGGTCCTGGGAAGTCATGCTGCTTACCTATGCAGCGGAACCCCTCACTGTCCGGGAGGTGTCTTGTTTGTGTTTGTGGTACAGCCCTAGAGAAGGGAACTGCAATGTGGGTATTAGTGGGAGGGCATCCAGCTGTACTCCGGAGGAGCATGACTCATATCCTGCCAAGTTTCCTCTAAAAATACATCCCTGCAGGCAGTTGTCAGATGTTTGTGATGGAAACACGTGGAAAGATTTTTACTTGCAACAGCGAAACAGGCCCATGCTGAGGAAAGCTGGCTTGGCTCGGGGACAGTGGTGCGCCTCTTACACAGCTTGTGTCTTCCAGCAGGGCCTGGTGGGTTCCAGGTCCCTCCCTGCTGTGCAGAGTTGGGTCCTCGCCCTGAGGCCCTCACAACCCCTCTTTCTACTCACTTGGGAAAATCAGTCTGCCCCTTTTCTCGTGAGGCTTTTTTTGAAGCTTTCTGGATGGGAAAGGTGGAAAATCCTCTTTTCCCTGCCTGCCTCCACCGTAGGTCTCGTGGCCTGGGCAGCCTAGGGAGATGCTCATTCCACTCAGCACGGTTTCTCCATGAAGGGCATAGCCTCTCCAGTCTGCCCCTCCTGCCTGAGCAGCAACATAGTTCCTCATCACCATCCACATCACTTCCCTGTGCAGCTCCTAGCCTCACAAAGACCCCCTCCCCTCTGGCTCTTGCTTTTCTTTTTTTACCGCAGTGGTTGCCAGGAAAGAGGGTGGGTTGGTATCCTGTTTCTGCATGTTACTGTTCCAAAGAACTGGAGCCAAGATCATAGGATAGTTGAGCCTGGAGCAGGAGAAGGAGGAGAAAAGATGTATGCAGTGATGGGTTTGACATCTGGGCCTCTAAGAGGACACTTGTAGACTCCATGCCTGGCTTGGGCTGAGAATTTTCTGCAGATCTGGTTACGCCGAGTTTCTCTCTTCTAGTGAAATGTCTCAAGAATACCCCAGCCTTCTTTGCGGAGAGGCTCAACAAGGCCATGAGGGTATGTAACGCGCATGTGCAGGTTGGGATGCCTTAGCCTCGCCTTTGCCAAGGGCTGAGGGTAGAAGGTCTGGGGAGAGCTAAATCTCAGCCGAGAGTTCTGAGGACCTGGGTTGGGAGGGGACTGACTGGAGGGCCCAGGGTGAGTGGGAAGTGAGGAAGCCTGATGCTCATGCTCTTGGATGGACTCTCTTTAGGGGGCAGGAACAAAGGACCGGACCCTGATTCGCATCATGGTGTCTCGCAGCGAGACCGACCTCCTGGACATCAGATCGGAGTATAAGCGGATGTACGGCAAGTCGCTGTACCACGACATCTCGGTACGGGCCTGCTACAGCCAGACTGGGCTTCCTTTTGGCATCCCAGTCACCTGTGGACCTTTCCTCCTTGTAGTGGCCATATGCTTGGCCCCTGTGCTGTGTTTGGGCATCTTGTCTGTGGACCTCAGACTCGCTTATCCCGTTGCCCCTCAACAGATTATAAGCTTCTGAGGGCAGGTGGGTCATGACCTTGCTGTCGCCCCCACCTTGTATCCCCCAGCAGCATCAGAGAACACTCAGGACCTTCTCAACCTTGACCTTGACCTTCAGCGTCCCGGCTACCCTGTGATTCCATAATCTGTCAGTGAGAACTCATGTGCTGACCTGACAAAGCACTTCTTGCACTCAGGTTTATGGCAAAGGACACGTAGGAAGGCCATTCAGAGCGAGGGCCCTGCGGATCACACCACTTAGAGTCTGGCTTTTCTGCTTGCCAACTGTGTGACCTTGAACAGCTTCCTTAAACCTCCCTGCACCCCAGTTCCATTGTCTTTAAAATGAGAAAATAATCATTCCTTCCCAAGAATGCTGTTGAGTGTTGAGTGAGGCAGTGCAGGTCAAGTGTCTGTTTCACACCAGACACTGTGTATCACTGTGTGGCAGAGCAAGTCTGGCAAAATATATATTCAGCTGCATGGTCTAACACCCAAATTCTGAACTCACATAGGCCTTGAAATTGCACCATGGGACCACATCCCCACCTTAGACTCAGTAGCATTTGATGATGGTGGGCATGTCATCACGAGAAGCTCACCTCCTTTTCCTGGCTGTATGAATGAAGCTGTTGCTAGAGAATTGTTAATTCTAGGCGCGGCACAGTGGCTCATGCCTGTAATCCCAGCACTTTGGGAGGCTGAGGTGGGTGGATCACTTGAGGTCATGAGTTTGAGACCAGCTTGGCCAACATGGTGAAACACTGTCTCTACTAAAAATACAAAATTAGCTGGGCATGGTGGAGCATGCCTGTAACCCCAGTTACTTGGGAGGCTGAGGCAGGAGAATTGCTCGAACCTGGGAGGCGCAGTTTTAGTGAGCCTGGATTGTGCCATTGCACTCCAGCCTGGGTGACAGAGTGAGACTTTATCTCAAAAAAAAAAAAAAAAAAAGAGAGAGAATTAGTAATTCTTTACAGAGTATCTCCTGTATGCCAGCAGGCTGTGGACATCTGGAAGAAGCCACATGCCTTGCCCTCAAGTTGCTTAGGGTGGAAGGAAATGATTAGAAATGAGCCAAGCCAAGCCTGCTTTTAGAGTAAGTGCAGTAGCCTCAGACAAAAGAGAGATCCGTGGGACCTGGGAGGCCTGCGCCCTCCACTGGACAGTCACGTGTGAGGAGGTTGTGTTTCCTGAGCAGAAGACTGTGCATTAAACTGGTAACCTCAATTTAAGGCAGCATAAATGCCCTGGGAAAAGCAGTATTGGTTAGCCCTGGGAAGTGGTTTTTAGGATGATTATAATTTTTTTTTGTGGGTATTCATTTGACTTGGATAGTTGGGGTGAGTGCAGCTTTCCATCTTCTAATAGGGACCTGGGGAAGGCGAAACTGCATTATCTAAGATCTGCTACGCCTGCTCCAGGACCTGCAGTGGGGGAAAATTTCCCAGGATGGGGCTTCCTCCCTATAAGGGCACTCAGGGCAGAAAATCAGGAGCCAGAGGCTGCAAGCAACCGTGCCTCCCTTAACGAATGTCTTCCTTGTTTCTGTGGCCAGGGAGATACTTCAGGGGATTACCGGAAGATTCTGCTGAAGATCTGTGGTGGCAATGACTGAACAGTGACTGGTGGCTCACTTCTGCCCACGTGCCGGCAACAGCGGTGCCAGGAAAAGGCCAAAAGAATGTCTGTTTCTAATGAACCCACAAATAGCCCCGAGATGCACCGTCCTAGAGCCCAGGCCTGTCCTCCACCCCCCTCACCCATATATTGTGCCACAGGACCTGGGTTGGTCTAGAACTCTCTCAGGATGCCTTTTCTATCCCATCCCTCACAGCCTCTTGCTGCTAAAGTAGATGTTTCATTTTTCTGACTCATGCAATCATTCCCCTTTGCTGTGGCTAAGACTTGGCTTCATTTTGTCATGTAATTGTATATTTTCACTTGGAGACATATTTTCTTTTCTTACAATCATTACCAGGCAGACACATACAAACACAAATGCGTTTGCTGTGTACACATTGCTGGTGAGGGCGACTGGGTGGTGAAGCGCCACGTCCTCGCTGAGGAACGAAAGGGAGGCGTGCCTGTGTGTCTGGTGAGTGTGTCACGAGCTTTGTTATTGCCAAACTCACTCCTTTTTAGAAAAAAAAGGGGGGGCCAGAAAGTCATTTTTTCCATCTTCCATGCAGAAACCATGAGAACAAAGCCAGTTCCCTATCAGTGACAGGGCTGCTTGTAATTTGTGGAATGTGCCTTAAACCTGAATGTCTGTAGCCAAAACTTGTTTCCACATTAAAAGTCAGCCAGCTCTGGAATGCTCTGGAAATGTCTTCCTGGTACCAGCTTGTTTTCTTCTGCTTGATTCTGCCCTGTGGCTCCGTCCTAGAGTTCTGGCCTTATCAGCCAGTGAAAATTCACGTAACCTTAGGTAGAAATTTGTGCACAGGAAACCGTGAGCTTAGGCTAGTTTTGGGGGACTGGGCTGTAAGGACATGGGAAGGAAGGCTCCTGAAATCCAGGCAGGGGGCCCAGACATCAGAAAGACAAAGGGATCTTGGTTGGGTGCAGGTGCAGTGAAGTGTACTGAAGGTGTGGTGGGAAGAATGTAGTTCTTCACCCAGGTCCTGGTTGGGAAGAAGGGTATATGCTAATTCCTGATACCCCTTGGTGGGGGGGCAGAGAGAAGGATGGGAACAACCCAGACAGTCACAAGACCAGTGCTTCCCATCAGTGTACTTCTAGGCTGAAAGGGGCTCCTGGCCCTGGTCTCTGGGAACCCTGTGCCTCTTGGTTGGTGATGTGAAGAGAGAGAATCCATAAGAGTTTCTAAGAATTATGGTGTCATGTCCCGAAGCTAGAGCTTGCCCTGTATCAGGATTCTCCACTCCCTTTCCAACCTCCTGTGTTGAAGTTTAGAAAAGAGAGGACTAGCTAGACATAGCTCACGCCTATAATCCAAGTACTTTGGGAAGCCAAGGCAAGAGTATCGCTTGAGCTCAGGAGTTCAAGACTAGCCTGGTCAACGTAGTGAGACCCCTGTCTCTACTAAGAAACTCTGGCCAGGTGTGGTGGCTCATGCCTGTAATCCCAGCACTTTGGTAGGCAAGGCAGGCAGATCACCTGACGTCAGGGGTTCGAGACCCTGCCTGGCCAATATGGTGAAACCCTGTCTCTACTAAAAATACAAAAACTAGCTAGGCATGGCGGGACATCCCTGTAATCCCAGCTACTCAGGAAGCTGAAGCAAGAGAATTGCTTGAACCCAAAAGGCAGAGGTTGCAGTGAGCTGAGATCATGCCACTGCACTTCAGCCTGGGCAATATAATGAGACTCCATCTCAAAGAAAAAGAAAAAAATTTACCTGGGCATGGAGGTGCATTCCCTGTAGTCAGCTACTCTGGAAGCTGAAGCAGGAAGATCACTAGAGCCCAAGAAATCGAGGCAGTAGTGACCTATGATTATAGCACTGCACTCCAGCCTGGACAACAGAATGAGACCCTGTCTCAAATGAGAAAAAAAAGAAAAAGAAATGGGAGAATCCAGAGACTAGGCTAGTTCAAGCCTGCTGAGTCCTGCCAGGAATCCCATGGAGTGGCTCATCTGCAACATTTGCTTGAGGACTGCCCCCTAAACATAGAGGAAGAATGACACCCAAAGGATGTGGGGCAGCTGTGAGCTGAGAACTAGCCTGGTCTACCTAGACCTGCCCTCCCAAGCCAAAGGCTGGTGTGGGTACTGAGATTGACACCAGGTCCTGGTCAACATGGCTCTGCAGCAGAGTCCATGCCTCAAGCCCAAGCTGAAACCCCATCCCTGCTGGTCTCCCAAGAACTCCGCTGCTAGGGCAGGCCCCTTGCCCTTGGGTGCCAGGTGGGACCTGCCTGATGGGCTGGGCTGCTTGGCATTACACAACTTGTCATGAACTCAAGGTGACGCTCATGGCCTCCTGAGTTGTGACAGGGCCTAGAACCAATGTGCTCTGATGTGACTATGTTCTGTGACATTGCCTTGCCCTGGTTACACCAAAGTTCCCAGCCTCGTGCCTAGCAGGCAATATTGCACCTACAGATACATTTACTTTGGTTTCCAAAGAGTGTTTTTAGACATTTGAATTTGTTGCCAACATTTAATCATTGAGAGATTTATATTTTTAAAAATGTGGAATTCTGGCTTCTCTTGAAAACTCAAATTCTGGCACCACGGGTTTACATTCCTGCATGGCTGGAGCTGAGTTGCAGCCGCCCCTTTGGGCCTGTACTCCTTATTTGCCATAGGCTCCACCACTTCCTCTTGTATTATACCGAGCCAATGTTACCCCTTTGGCCCCTGCAGGCCCTTGGGTTTGAGACCCTGGTCTACACACTTGGGGACCACCCATTGTAAGGTACATGGATGTGCTTTGGTCAAGGAATACACCGAGGCGGACATCCAGGCCAGAGTGACTCAGCAAGTTTAGATCGCAGGTGCATACTCCACTTGTTACATAACCTGTTTGTATAAGTTCATATTTGGCTCGAAGCCAGTGTTGTTTGGAAAAGGTATAACTGCCCTGTTGATGCTATACAGATGTTCTTGGGCTCGGATTGGCATGGCTCCACATGGTGTGCACTGGCACCCAGAGAGAGAGTGAAGCTACCAACCCCTGTAAGGCAGAGTGACCATCTGGCAGACGGACAGAGGGGAGCCAGGACAGCTCAGCTTGTGCCCAGAGGGAAAGAGTTAAGCTGCTGAGCCTGTAGCTGGCCTTGCAGGCCAGGGAGTGCAGCTGCAAGCATGGGGGCGGCAGGAGCTGCAGAGCTGGAGCAGACAGCCGAGATAAAGGCAGACAGTGTGAGAGAGCTGCTGCTGAGACAGCTGCTGAATAAAGGTACGTTTTACCTGCCTACGGCCTGCCAAATGTTCCTTTAGCTGTCACCCATCCACCCACTCCCCTCGAGCCTCAGCATGAGCTGGAACCTGACCCTGGGCATGACAGTTGGCCTAGGCATGGACGTGTCACCTGTGTTTGTCCCAGTCCTGGTTCTCTTTGTTTTCCTGTCCGTCTGGTTGCCCTCATGGTCACTCCCATGTTAAGTATGGGCTGGAGGACTCCATGAATGCCTTATGATCTTCCCAGAGGCGAAGGCACCTACTGCCTTCCAAGGCCAGTGGGGTGTTGGGATCAACACTGTTTGTTATGCTTAGGACAAAAAGGATAGGCATGCAACCTTACAGGCTATCTTTCTGGGATAGAACGCAATGGGTCTTTTCCTGCCTCCTGAATATGTTAGTCAAGGCCAGTCCATGCTACGTGTCTAATCTGACTTCTAAAATAGCAAGTAGAGGACGAAGCACCAGATGAATTCAGCCCCGGGAACATTTGCAGGAAGAAACACTGTTAGTTAAGCTTTGCACCTGAGACAAATGGCCCCACTTGCTTTACCCTGGTCTTGGTGGCATTTGTCTCAGGTGCAAAATTTAAGAAAGGAACCTTGGAGTGCTCACCCTGT